TCCCTTTCTCCCCCCCTTTCCCTTTCTCCCCCCCTTTCCCTTTCCTTTTCTTTGTGGTGCAGTGTCATCTATCTCAATAGTACTTGCTATTAAGTGGTTTAATACAGCAGTACTGTCAGGTATGTTTTTTTTTACCACTGTTTTTTATAAGAATTTATATTATAAGAATTTGCTATTTCATTTAAGAAATATATAGTTCTCATTAAGAACCCTACAGTTTTTGTAAGAACTTCTTTTAAGTTATATTATAAGAAATAGCAAATGGATTTTTCTACCGTGAAGATGTTTGTGAAAAGGATTTTTCAAAAGGAAGATATGGGACAACATGTTAGGATAGCACAAGGTAAATTCTTGATGTCAAGAAGTTGACAAACGTTTTAGTGTGGATTAGGTGTTACCGTTGGTTTTTGTGGTTTTACTTTTTCTGATATGGCTGATTACTTCTAGATTTGTGCATGATTTTGCTTGTATTTTAGTTTTGCATGAAACTCTTGTGAAAATATCTTGGTTTTTGATTTGTAGTGCTCGAAATTTCCCGCATATCATTTACAGCACTACATAAGGATTTTATTCTTTCAGAAATCACTTTTGGCAAATCTTGGGAACTTAGTCACAGAACAAACAAGTGACAGAGCAACTGGTAGAAGGGAAAGGTTCTTTTGTATTTGGGCAGAAGTGGATGTAAAATTGGCTGTCTGTCTGTGTCCTTTCAGGGTACCTGCTCAGTAGGAAGCAGAGGGTAGTTGCAGCTTCACTTCAGACTTTGGAGGGGTAGCAGGTGTCCTATATAACTTGTTTCAGGGCAGCTGCTGTTTCTTGAGAAAAAAAAAATCAAGTTACCTGCTGTTTCTACATACTGAAAAGTAAAATGCAAAAATGCTTCTTAGAATTATTTTTTCTTCAGTATGATCATGAATCTGCAATTTAGTATTTCTTTAAAACCTGCTAATTGTCTTCAATAATAATGTCCATGTAGGATTATTTTGCTGATATATTGGTATGCTCTACTTGGCAACACTCAAGAGTTTTGTCAATAAATTCTGTGTTTTTCTTGAAAGCAAAAAAGCTTGCAAAACATAGCTGTATATTAGGGATTTTTGCTGGTGCATCTGTGTTTTTTAGGAATGAGATGACTGTCCTCTTTCAGCATAGCTGTGCTACCAGAAGATGAGCGAAGGCAACTTTGAAGCAGATGTTTTTGTGTTAAATGTCAGAAAACTACAGATTTCCTGCATTGTAAAGTTGATTTCTATTCTTAATAAGATTTTGCCRTTAGTAATTGTATTATCCTGCCTTCTTCTTTAGGGGAAAGAACTAGTTTATTCTTGAAATGACTGCACAGCTCCATTCAGTTGTAGATGAACGTGCATTTTGTTTTGCGCTCTTGAGCTGTAATCTTTTTCCAGTAGTAATGAGAAATGGGCARTCTTGAATAACTTTGTGCTACCACCTGCTGGCATGAAAGGATGCCTTTACTTCTTCTTCTTGGTTCTTTTTTATCATTTGAATCAAATACTGGCTAGAATTCCCATATCTCTAGGGGATCTCTTGTTCATATTTTTGAATATGCTGATTGTTAAGACTAGTTAGATAGCCAGCTCAGCATGCTGCTGCTCCTGGATTATTTTTCTTTTATTTGAAGTACAGTGTAAAACTTTACCGCAATTGACATTTAGCCTGTTATGATCATTCCCCCTGGTTCTGATGATGCTTCAAAGAACAGCTTCTGTGAGTGAAATATTCTTCTTAAATCTTTCCTTCCCAAAGAAAAAAGTTGATAAAATGCATTTTAAGGAGTGAATCTAATTGTAAATACTCCTGACATCAYTAATTCTTCTTCCATGGCACGTATGAGATGAGAGTGTGCAAGCTGCTGAATACTTTGAGACCTCCTCAGCCTGATATGATTCTGTGTTGGAATAATCTGCACAAACTCTTGAGAGTATTTGGTCCATTAAAATATTTCTCTATAGAGAATCCTCTTTCTACTGTAGCCYTTTTGCTCTGACCATTGATTTCTCCCTTATAGCAACCGCGAAAGTTGGTAAGGGGACGCATGCCCTCTGTCCTTAGCAGGGAGCCCAGAGGGGTGGCCTGATTCCCTAGTGGTGTGGCTTGCAAATAATCCAGTTTGAACAAGGGTTCTTGGTGATAAGAACATGTTGGGTTATGATAAATGTTTGCCTACACTTTTGAAATGTTCCCTGTGTGCTGTGTTGTTCATGTCTGTTCTTTGACATTCCATTCTGTTACACTGCTGTTAATTCTCTGACATACAGTTCATGCATGAGCTTTGTAGTTTTCCTTTTGTTAGAGTCTGAAATTTTCTACTAATCTGGATTTTGAGATCCTATTCCATAGATACTAAGGAGATAAGTATGTTTTGGCAWTACAATGTATCTTAAATTGCCTTTTATTCAGGTTCTTAATTGGCCAAATTCTCAGTGAAAATAGCAGCTGTTCACAAAACCTTGCAAGAATATTAAGGGTTTGTTTGTTTTGTTTTGTTTTTTCTTCTGATCCCTGGTGTGTTTTGGTGTATTTGTAAGTTCACAACAAGCATCAATAAGAAGTGTTAGGTGAAGTTATCTTGAGTATGCTGTCCTGGTCCAGAATGAAAATTTCTCCTTATTTTTATAGGGAAATTTATTGATGAGAAAAATAATCTGTATTTAAGGTTTTGCAACTATAGTGGGCTTTCTTGTTTTGCTCATTTTAGTGCTCTTTTCAACTCGGAAACTCRTGGTAGCTTTAATAAGATGTAGTCTCATAATTCATCCCTGTACTGGCTAATTAGCATGCCATATAATATCTGGTGAAAAAGTAAGAAGCAAAGACTACTTAGAATTTTTTTTAATGTAAGTCCTGGTGAATAACATTGCATTTCTATACAGAAATGCATGGCTGTATTAAATAATTTTTTTAAAAAAGTACAATGAAGAATTGTTAAAAAATAAACCYTAATATAAAATCCTGGAAGAATGAGAACACAGTGAAATGAAATGCTAAATTGTGTTAGAGCTTTCTTTTCAAGATATATGCAATCACTTGGTTTAGTGATATCTTTCAGTTATAAAGAGCTTACTCCTAGATAATGCAGGAAAATCCACCTGGTTCTTTTAAATATGACAAGGAAAAATTATGAAATTAAGAGTTCTCATAAAATTTTTCTATTTAAGTCTGTATATGTATAAACATAACAGAAAACTTTTACGTTTTTATTTTTATAGGAGGAATAAACATGGGGTCAGTCGAGAGAAGATTGCTCACATGTTGGAACGATACGAATATCAAATATCCATTCCTATTGTCATGAACTCAGTGGTGCCTCCTCACAAACACACGCAAAAACCGCCTCTGCAGCGAAGACATAGGTGGGAAGGCAATACAGACTCATGGGATTATTTCAGTATTTCCAGTAACTGATAACACAGGTTTCAGACAGTTMATGAAAATCTGTTATTTGCCATTCATAAATCTGTCTTCATCACTATTTTAATAGTGGGTCTTCTGCATTTAAAATGGGCTGATTTTCAGTCCCCACCTTTCTGGGGATTGTTTCTTTAACAGACTTACTTGTAGATAAAACTGTACATTAGATGTTTTTAAATATATATTTATTACAGTTGTAATAACTTAAATTTTTAGTAAAGTGTTTGGAATAGTATGAAGTAGAGCAGAGTCTTCCTTCATAAACCTAGGGCAATGAAGTTATCACACTGAGTAACTGTTGAGCAGTTTTCTAAAGCAGTCACATTATCTTTTAAACAGAACTAAAAACCAGGAGAAGGTATTTATGTAATATCTAATTTCAGCAATTCTCATGGCTTTTAAGACTCTGAATGTTTTACCTTTTTTTAAACACAGCTGCTTCCTGGACTTTGGGAAGCCTTAACTGGCATCCAAAATTTAGGAAACTTTTTCTCCTCCCTCCCCCTCGTTTTTAATCAAAAAAGTAACATTGAGCATTGAAGCAGCATTGTGCCAATACAGTATTCACCAGACTTAAACAGCACAGCTTTAATTCTTTGAGTTTTGAGGGTTTTTTCTCTATGGTAGTCTATAAAGCTTAATGATATGTGCATACCACCACTGTTTTTTGCATTAATAACACTAAATTTTACCATGGTAAAAATAAATTCACACTTGCCTTTCTGAGCCAAGTTATGTTATAAAAATGACACACACAAAGCATTAGGCGGTTAACTCCAAATCCACAGTTGGAATGATTTAAATTAATAAAAATAGTGGACACAGTTCTGTAAAACCATGTTGCATTCTTAATTTTGGCATACCTGATGTAACTTGTTTAGTATATATCAAAGTAGGAGCCAGCATGGAGATTGATTTATTGTCCTCTTTTTTTTTCCTTAAAAAACTGACAAATTAGGAAGATTTCACTTTGCTTGCTTTCTAACTGCTTGCTGTATTAATAAAATATATTTGTCTTCACTGTTGTTTTGGAAGTTCAATGTAAATATATATTTTTTTTTATTTTATGTACATAATATTATTAGCAATCTGATAGTTTAAAAAAAGAAAGCTTGTTACGTAGCTGAACTCTGTGTGTGTGTGTGTGTGTGTGTGTGTATATGTGTGTGTGTGTGCGCGCGCGTGTGTGCGCTCAAAGGCTTTAGTTCAGAAAATTCTACAGCCAACATGATTTTTGCATTCTCTATAGATAGCTTTTAAATGGATCCTTAAAAAATGCTTATTTTTAAAATCTGAATAACAAAATTGAGAATGCAGCCATCTAATGAAGTATTTTTCTGTGATTGTTTTTTTCTTTTGTATACCTATTGTATAATGAATTTTGGAAAAAAAAAGTATATCTAGAATAATGTTTATGTAAGACATCTTATTAACTATCATAGAATCATAAAATGGTTAAGGTTGGAAGGGACCTCAGAGGTCATCCAGTCCAACCCCGCTGCACACGCAGSGTCACTCAGAGCACGGGGCACAGGGCTGCGTCCAAGSGGGTTTTAAAGATCTTCAGAGAAGGAGACTCCACAACCTCTCTGGGCAGCCTCTTCCAGGGCTCTGTCCCCCTCACTGYTAAGAAGTGTTTTCTAAAGTTCCTGTATCAAAGCTGGAGTGTGCAATTACATATTCTAGCAATTGTTTTCAAATAATTTGAAAAACTTCAATAGAGCATGAATTATTAATACATTAAACTACTGTGCATTTAGAAAAAAAAAAAWTCTAGTACTATTAAATGCTTTTCCTTATTGTATCTTATTTATACCGTTTGTGTTGCTGCTTTTTAGCTTCCTTGGTCCTCTCTTTCCATGTCTCCAGAGAATCTTGGAAAGCATTGTAAATTATCATGATGATGCTTCCAGTTATCTCAAACTTTAAGCATGAAAGTGCATTTCCTCTGTGAGGAACCTAGTAGGGTTTTCCAAGAGATTGCTTTATTTGCTCCTATCTACGTTACTTCAGTCCACAAAAAAATGTAACATTTATTGAGACTCTTGCATGATGTTTATATGGTCTGTTAAGATAAGACAAAAGATACATCCAGTTTATGTTAGATATTAGGGTCTTTTTGATAGCGCCTATATATAGTTTTTAAAGGAGACTGAGGTTATTTTAACCAGGATTTAATTAAGATTTGCATTGTATTTAACTGGATTTTTTACCTTTAAATAGGTATGAATTATTACCAGTTAACAAAACGCTGCTTCTTTTTGAAGCCCTTTTAGTTACTGGTGGATGGTAAATTTATTTGATATGCAGACCACGTTGATCAGTGTAGGCTGGCTATTTACAGTGAGTGCATAGCAAGAACAGAGTGCTTCACAACTTGGAAGTGTATCAAAAGTATGTCATAAATTGCTTATAAAGCTGTATTCTAAGGTAAGTACAATGGCATGGTAAGTGAAAACCTAATGGAATTACTCTCTGGTGGTGCAATATTTGTCTTTGCTTTATGGTATGGTTATATGTCATGAAAATATGACAGATTTAAGCTACTAACTAGTTATTTATATCCCTGAGGGAGAAATTACTTTGTTGTCTGTGGATGACAAATAAATTGCATTTTAATAAATATATATAAGGAGCATAAAATGAGGATATGAAATTCAGACTACAGGCATTTAATTTATCCCGCTGCCTCATAAGTGAAGTATTTTATTGGCAATTATATGCAAGAAACTTGAGAACTCTGTGTTCAAATTTGAGATGTAAATATTTCTGCTATCTGGCATAGAGTTGGTGCAGTTCTCAGGTTGGCTTCTTCCTCCAAGTAGTATCTGGAGTTAAGGG